ATAATTATAATGTATTATTTAGGAAGCAGAATGTATCATAGAAAAGAGTTTGTGTGTATATTTGCAAACAGACGAATTTTTAGCAGCCTAGCTAGTGCAACATTTGAGTGTAATAGAATGAAAGTAGTGAAAGTTGATCCAAATATTATATCGGGTAGGTTGAAGGAAGTTATTGGTTGAAAGCTACAACTTCCTCCCAGTGAAATTATGACAAATCCAATATACAGATATCCTACGTGCATAAATCTACTATAATACCAAGCATACAATCTAGAAGATGATTTAGATGTCCAACAAATGTGACAAGTGAGTAATCGATTCTCAACTCAGTTAACATGTGTAGAGTTGTATGCCAATATAGGTGACTTGAAAGACAATGGTCATATTGAATCATAGCTAATAGACAACAATGCTGGAAATACTCCTCCATCAAGTAGTAATTAGCTGAACATTATAGAAGAAGAATCCATGTCTAGCGATCACATGGAAAATCTTCACCCATTTAAACTTCCCCTAGACAGTGGCAACAATAGGTCATCTTGCTATGTTCCTTAAATGAAAGATACCATGGATGAATTTGAGGACAAAGATGATTCTTATTTAAATATTGGTGATGGGAATAATAATGATGATGGTGATGAGCATGACGAGATAAACTAGGATAATGAGCTAGCATCTGCTTTATTCTCACATATTAATGTTGAGTCACTATGGCTTTTGAGATAATGAATTAGAAGAAATTCTACCTTTCATTTATAATGAAGAGTTACATATCAAAAAGATGTTTAGCAATGTTCATGTTTTGAGACGTGCGGTTAAGTTATACTCTGTTCGAGTTCATCATACATTTAAGGTCTATTATTAATGTAAAACATATGAAGAATATCGACGCATTAACTACGATAAAAATTGTAATTGGAGAGTAAGAGCTTGTAAGAAGGAAAACAGAAATTTTTGGCAGGTTACAAAATATGGGGGGTCCACACATGCTTAAGCACATCACTAACTCAAGACCATCCAAAGTTAGATGCTAATGTTATATCATCTTGTGTCGTCATAATGGTAACTGACAAGCCAGATGTGAAAGTATCTCAAATTACAGAGAGGATGCAATTTGTGTTTGGTTATACACTATCATATAAGAAGGCATAGAATGCAAAACAATTAGCCATTGATGTTGCTGTCGAGAATTGGAAGATCTCGTATTCCTCACTCCTAAGGTGGTTGGCCGCAATACAACATTTCATTCCTAGATCACGTACAATTTCCAAATAAATAGTACTCTCAAGTCCATGTAGATGGGGAACCAGTTGAAATATTTCGTCGTGTATTTTGGGCATTCAAGCCATGTATTGATGCCTTTCCACACCTAAAACCCATTATACAAGTTGATGGAATATTTTTATATGAAAAGTATAAGGGCACGTTACTTATGGCCATATCAAAAGATGGTGACAGAAATATTGTGCCATTGGCATTTATGGTAGTTGAAGGGGAGACAAGATCTGCTTAGACATAGTTCTTATACCATATGCGTCACTGTATTGTAAAAGACAGAATAAAAATTTGTTTAATTTTAGACAAATATCGTTCAATTTTGGCCATAGTTTCTAATCCTCAACATGGATGGCAGCCACCACATGCACGTCATGTTTTTTGTTTACATCATGTGGCCGCAAATCTTCACAAAGCAAATGGAACAAATTGGCTGAAAGAGAAATTTATAAATATTGATGAGATTCTTTATGTTTTTTATGATATGATAACTTTATGATTTTATGATTATTTTTAACAAGTTAGTAACTACTTGTAGGGTATGCATATGAATATCATGTTGTTGACCAACAATTAGTAGAGATAGCATTGCAACATGTATTTGTTGCCAGATGGATTGAAGCCATCCCAAAAGAAAAACGGTCACATGCATATGACATTGAAGGTTGACGTTATAGACACATGACAACTAATCTTGCAGAGTGCATGAATGGTGTATTCAAAAGTGTACTAAGACAATTTGGTCGTCAACAACCTATTCCTATCATGCCTGTTTATTTAGAAAATTAATATAAAATATAGCTACGTGACAGAATAACCACAAATTAGACTCAACAATACTCAAATTTTATTAAAGCATGGAATGGATGGCCACATGCTGTTGTTGATGTTCCTCTAGCACTTGATGAACTTGATCAAACATCTGAGTACATGCAAGGATATTGGAGACACACAAGACGATGGATCCAATGTGTTAGTGATGATACTGGCTATGTGATAAGGTTCTTTTAGTTTTTTTTTCAATCAATATCATCATTTTCTTTTATACAAAAAAATTTTTCAACCTAATATTTTATTTATTTCAGCTGATATAGCAAAACAGTTATATAGGCTATCAATTAATTCTCGTTCAACATGCTCTGATTGCATTGATTATCGAGAAAAAGTTACTCAAAACCAGTGTAACATCTTACTCGCAATTAGAGAATAACAATTTAATATGAACCCTCAACCAGCTCCACCAACAGTTGTGTTGCTCTGTCCACAAATTCCTTGAGATAGACCAAGGAAACGGCATGGCAGTTACTTGTCCACTCAACCACCAATTGTAAATGAAAATTTAAGGGAACAAGAGCCTCAAAATTTTAGTCATTCTGATAACATACCAATCTCATCATCAACCCCTATCACATCTTCCAATCCAACACATGTTTACCCCCATCAACATGCCATCATCATCGAATTACGCCATTCTTACTCACCCAATCCTCCTCAATTTCAGTCGTTTATGTCCTTATTTGATAATCTTGCATTATTTATGGATCAATATAACACTTCTTCTTTTGAGCAAGGTGTCCATCAAATGAAGCATTTGTCATCTCTCGGCAATCAATTTCTTTATTCGAACCACCTTAGTTTGATTTAACTATGCTAACTATGTAGACAAATGAGATATTAGATCAAACTCAAGAAGTAAATATACAACAACGACCACAGTGTGAGCAGAGGAAACCAAGATGTGGCATCGGGAGTCATTATTTGTGAGGTAAATTGATTCTTATTTTTTGTTCATGTCAATTTAATTATTATTTATTATTAATTTTATAAAACTTAATTATTACTTATTTTTATTAATCACTTTTTAATTAATGTAATTTTAATTATTACTATTATCATTGTGTAATAATTAACTCATTATTCTAATGATATGATCATTATTAAAATCCTTGTAGGGGTATTTGTATGGTGAGAAATTGTAAAAAAAGTTGTTCAAGGGCTGATAAAGTTTAAAAGTGGTTCACACTAAGATGAAGTTTAATTACACGCCAAACAATGTTTATTGAAGAAATTGTTCTTACTTAGATGAACTTTAAAAATTGTTCAATTCAAGAACAACTTTGACTATAGTATTTAGAGAAATAATTCTCACTATGTAGCATTTAAAGAATTTCTTTTACTGTTTGTAACCTATTGATAAAAATTCTGAGAATGTCGTTGCTAGATATAGACAAGGAAAAAAATCAAACTAAACTAGCCAGTTGGTCTGATTTAAGTGATGGCTCAATCTTAAACAAAATCGACATCAACCCAGTCAAATTGAGGGTGAATCGGTAAAAATTGCTATGATCACCGGCCTAGACGATTATGTTGTTATTGGTTCTATTTTTCCTCATTCAACTTTTAATATCTTAGTCATTATATATTTGAATAAATTTTAATGATAATTTTGGTATCAATAGTTATTAATTTTAGTTATTGATGAATCATAAAGATTAAAATTCTCAATGCTATTGTATTTTGTTATTGTTACAATCAAATTATTGTTATATTTTTTTGTATTTTGTTATTAGTCATTATTAATGTTGCTATATTTTGTTATTTTTAATTAAATTATATTATTCTAATATGATTGGTTTGACCCTTATCTGACCCACTAAACATTGAACCACTATTTCAACTGATTTCATGTTTGGTCCCTTTTTTTTTTCCTTATCATATAGACATTGTTGGCGTCCACCTCACCACAAACGGAGATGACAAAATCATGAGTAAGGACGTTGCAGGAGAAGAAGGTCGCTGACGAAATAGGAAGTGAGAAAGATGATGATGTTGTCGACTGACAATGGTTGCTAGTGGAGATGAAGGACAACGAAGAAGACCATAGATAGAGTATGGCATTAAGCAAATTTTAGGAAGATATTTTAGTTAGTAACTTTCTAATCCTAGGACTAAAATTACAACACCAAAGGAGAGGGCGGCATTGGTGAATCCCATGAGTATGACATTGGGCAATCCCAAGCAATGACAAATATCTCACACCACCAGGCGTTTCAAATTGAATCATTCCCTAACTCAATACCAATTTCAACCCCTCAGTGTCATGTACCAAATAGAACCTTAGAATTAGAAAGAATGTGCTATGTAAACCTTAATGCAAAAGTCATTATGTCATATGTGGGCTCACAAGGTTTGTGGAAATTGTGGTGTTGGCTTGTGGGCTCACAAGGTTTGATTATTATAGGTCTAGAGTTGAGATAATCATGATTTAGTTTCCTCTTATTCTTGTATGTCATATGTTTATGAGTTATTTTCATATTATGAATTATTGGGTTCATATTCCCAGCTCACCCATGCTCATTCTCTAAATGATGTGTTTGGAATGCATCTTCTTGTTTTTCTCTTCTTCTTCTTTTTTTTTTTTTTGAATTTTATATTTCCTATCATTATTTTATTTTATTTTTTCTTGTCTATTTGGGTTATGTTGTATTCATTATCCAATTATTTTTTAATTTCTTTTAGTAGTACTCAACATCATAAATTAATTAAATTTTTGATGCATCTAACACTTTAAATTATTTTTTCAGTATTACTTATTATCTTAAAATAATTTTTAATGCATTCAAAGTAATTTAAAATATTTTTTAAATAGTGTTTAATATCCCCAACTAATTTAACATACAAGGATTACTAGAAAGATATTTCAAGGGACCGGAACCCAAGTCCCTTTGTAGCCCCAACGAAACGCTCTCGTCTGGTCGGAGGAGATTCATTTCGTGTCCGGCATTCCGCACTTGTCCGGCTTGCCGTCAGACGCCGTCCACCGTTGTCAGCCCTTCGTCTAGTAGTGAAAAAGGTACGAACGAACCCTTGGGCTCTGTCTGCTCCCGAATTCCAGTGAGATTGATTTGTTCAATCTGGCTTTGAAGCGAGATTTGAATTTGTTCCCCACGTCATTTGTTTATTCTCAACCCTGCCTCGGACGCCGGCTCACCATTCATTGTTGCTTTGTTTTAAATTTTTTCATTTTAGTTAATTGGAAGAGCACAAATTGCAAGTATTTTCATTGTCATTCTTCAGTGGCTTGGAGGATTTGCCCGAATCGATTGGCTTACGAAGGCTTCTCCGTTAATGTATCTGGTATCAAAATTAAAAGGGTATCATATGAACTATGCATGTTTCGTAGATTTCAGTGAGTGTAATATAGGTCCGCCTATGGTTGTTCATGTGGATTTTTTCTTAAAGTCATTTGTTGCTTTAACTCCATGCTGCCGTGGCCTGCTGTGTCATTGCTATCGTTAACATAATTTTGCTTATAGCTGTTGATTGTTCTATGCAGACCTTGAGTTTGATAGGAGGAAACTTATGGCTGTCAGTTTTATCCGTGGGAATGGACTGTGGTATCCTTTGAAAGAACAGCGTTATCATATGCATGTATCTCGGAATTTGGCGTGTTCATTTGTTGTTTTGAAATAAAAAGAAAAGGAGAATTTGTCACTACTGCTATAGATCCCCCCCTTCTTCTATAGTGTCTGCCTTCTTTGCATTACTTTTACTTGCTTTATAAATTACAATTCAATGCTGAAGAGTGTGCTTTCTTGCATTAATAAAAAAAAAAAAAAGAATAGAATCATTTAGATTAGTGGATTTTTTGTGTCAGTATATTTAATATTTAATTTACATGAAATTATTATGATGCAACTTCTGTGTTATTTGGCGTATGCTTTCCATGGTCTTCAGTTTAATTTCGAGTATAAATTGTTCTGATAAAGCTTTGCTGTTGTATCGGTTTATGAAGCATGGTTTTTAGCTAATTTTGAGTATATAAATGGTAAAGCTTGCCACTGGCTCTGATGATTTTAGTATGATATATCCTTCTTATCTAGCTACCTTCAACCATAGATTCTGGTGATAAAACTCGCTGATAGCTCTGTTGTTTTTAGCGTGATCTTGCCTTGTTTTTTGAGTTTAATCGAATATAACATCTGGTCATAAAGCTTCTCTCTGTCTCTGACACCTTTACTGGGATGGTGTAACCTTTTTCCCTGCCTTAACTGAATATGAATTTGGGTGATAAAGTTCAGTGAGGCTGTTATTGCTTGAGTTTCATGATCTGGATTTATTTTTTCGACATAACTGAGTATAAATTCTGCTTGTTGGTTTTGGTTTCATCCCAGTTTGTACATCAAGTTGGGTCGAGTGAATGTCATCTCATTGTCATTTGAGTTCAAGGATTTTTTATGCTGGGTCATAAATTTTCTATTTAAAGAGGATGAAGCAATTGTGATACTCTGTTGAATCTAAAATTTGATTACAATTCAGGAAATCCTGCTTTGGTATACAGGCATTTCAGGAATTTTTTTTATTTTTTTTTCGGGGGCATTGTCATCATCTTTGTTGGAAGGCCTTGATCTTTAAGAAACTCTTGTATGTGTCAGATGCATATGTTACTTTCTATAAAATTCTTGCTATTTTTCTGATTTTATGGTTTGGCTGAGTTGTAAGATTGGACTTGGTAAGTCATCCTGTTATATGTATTGATTTGGATTTGCTCTGTTTCAGGAACAATCAAATTACTTGTTGAGATTATGGCGGATAAAGATGAGGATTTGCCCAGGGATGCGAAAATTGTGAAGTCCCTCTTGAAATCAATGGGAGTGGAGGACTATGAACCTCGTGTCATACACAAGTTTCTGGAGTTGTGGTATCGCTACGTTGTTGAAGTATTGACGGATGCCCAAGTATATTCTGAGCATGCTAGCAAATCTGCAATTGATTGTGATGATGTTAAGCTTGCTATTCAGTCAAAGGTTAACTTTAGCTTCTCTCAGCCACCACCTAGAGAGGTAATTCTGCATTTATAAATGTTGTGCTTTTTTAAGTTATCATCAAAAGTAAAATTGTGTCTATGCTCTTACTTAGTGCCTGTTTGGGAAGCTAGTTTATAATACTTTTGCTCTTTATGAGACAAAACTTTTTTTTTTTAACATATTTACGTTGTATAGTGCAAAATTACTTAAAATAAGCTAAACCAAACACCCCGGTTCATTTGGATAAGGAACAACAGAAAAGAAGAGGATTTTTCTGGAAATCTTCCCCTTGTTTTGGAAATTGGAATTTCATTGTGTCCTTCCTTCCCCATGGAAGTACAAGATGAGATGCATTCCTTTGTTGTCGTTCAATGCTAGTTTTTGAAGTTTGCAGTGCAGGTGCTAAGCAAGTGTGCGCTATTGACGAACGTAGTTGGTGGTTTTTTTGTTTTTCCCAGCTTTTTTTTTGGGGGGGGGGGTGAGGTGATGACTGCTATAAGCAAGTAACGTGGAAGCTGTGTCTTCCTCTTTTTGAAATAGTCACATTGGTAACTGATTGCTAGATTAATTTGCTGATTCACTTTCTAGTCAATAAAATAAAACAAAATATTTTTGTACAGTCTGCTGATGTTGGACTCAGAATCATACCGCTCCACAGATAAAGCATTTTTGCTTCTTCACTGAGCTTGAAAAGGAATTTTTTTAATAGAAGAATTTACCCGGTTTTAGAAAATCTTGCCTATGAATATGATATTTGGTCTTTTCCCTCTTTCCTTGATCGGCAACCTTTCAGATTGGATTGTACCTAGCTAGCTGAAACATCTACTGACCAAACTTTCTGTTATTAATTGCCTGGGCATGGCTGATTTGCTGTTGGTCGGAACCCTGTCCATGGGGCATGAAGCTAGAGTTGTTGCAGAAGCTCGTGTAATAATTTTATTAGAGTACTTGATAGTAACCGCCAATTCAGGTTGATATGAGTGGCAGAGGCTCGCATCCATTTAACAAATCGTTAGGGATTTGATTACCAATTCGTGTTTGAAGCATATTTAGTTGGGAAGAGTCTACTTTCTGCCTTGGTGCCTAAAGTGAGATTAGTCTCTACTGTTAAAGAGATTAGTCTCTACTGTTAAAAGAGTATTTCTGGTCTCACCAAAAAAATATTTGATAGTAAATATGTCATGAACTTCCACTTGTTCTATCATGCATTATATTCAAGCGGCAATTTTTTCCCCTTGCCAAAAGGATAAAATATTTGATGAGGTTACTTCTTAATAGGTGCTTCTGGAGTTGGCACGTAGCCGCAACAAGATACCGTTACCGAAATCAATAGCGGGTCCTGGCATTTCTCTCCCTCCTGATAAGGATACACTAATCAGTCCTAACTACCAACTGGCAATTCCAAACAAAAGGCCTCCCCAACCAATGGAGGAAACCGAGGATGAAGAAGCTGCTGATCCCAACCCCTCTCAGGAAGACAAGACAGATATGCAGCAAAATCCTCAACAAAGGGTGTCCTTTCCCATCGGCAAACGCCCTAAAACCTAACTCTTTCATGGTGAGTCCGATTCAGACACTTGCAAGTAACTCCATCCTTTGCAATCCAATTAACCATATCATCGTTTTGACCTGTAAAGAGGATTGTGGCTTCTTCGGTACTAAATATGTATAATTATTGTAGTTACGAAATGCTATGACTTGTGGTTTTGTAATATTAATTTTCATATATGTAGTGCGGACGGAGACTAGAAGATGGGAAGATTGAAAAATGTACGTGTTTGCACAAATTGTCAAGTAGGTCCTGACATCCCGGTGGCAAATGAGTTGAAGCTCAGATATGAATTTTGCGCTCATCTTAGTGTAACTTCAGATGAGAGTGAAAAAATTATGCTTCTTTTATGTTATGTACTTATTAGAACAAAAATATTTAAAATGTTAACTTAAAAAAGTGCGCAATGGATGGAGTGAAGAATTGCAACAAATTCCATGGAATTGAAGTTTGACCCATGTTTACCTTTTACGTTGTGAGGCTCATAATGCCATTGGGGAAGACAACCATGGACAAGCCAAGATAAAGATTTCTAGATTCTCATTTGTGTTTTGGAGCTTTGTATCAAACCACTCAATAAAAACTTCCATATTTTCTTGATCTTAATTATAAGTTAAAACAAGCTAAATTTAAAGTGCAAGTAATGCGTATTTTTCAATCGTGCCCTTCAACTAAAATTTGATGAGTAGTTGGAACTGTTGCAAGAAAACGACGATCACTGCCAGTTAGGGCATTTTAAGAAAAACAATTCAATTCCACACATAATGAAGAGGAATAGCAAACTTTCTTAGATATTGTGAAGCATTTGTTTTTTAAAATATAATTGAGACTGGAAGGAGTATTTTCAGAGTAAGAATTCTGTATTTTGCCAAAATGATATTGCTAGTGCTACTAAACGAGTTGGAGGAAACCCAATATGAATCAATGATACTGGTTTTAAATATAAGAATCATTTTGTAGTATAAATTTACACGACAAAATGAGTCTTATATTTAGGACCAGGGGGAATATTATACAAATCAGACTGGCTTAGAAAATGGACAGTATCAGTCAATTCACTATTCAATGAACAGTAATTTGCTTGGACAAATAGTGTCAGCGTTTTGAGCTGCATGTAATTTAATTCTTTGCTGTATTTAATCAAAGCTGACATCCAAAGATTTGATTATTGACAAAGCACAATAGTGTCATACGATTTATGTAGTCAACATGACTTTGTAAAATAAGGCTTATTGTTATTATATTGATTGTTTTTGGCCCATCAACTTATTGATATATTGATATTTTTAACACTCATAAAAATCATGTTTTGAAATACAATGATTACATGTCTGTCTTGATGCAATCGTGCCCATCACCCAGTGTGGAAATTGTGCGGCAGAAAATACAATTTCAGTTTGAAGCATCTTCCAAAGATTTTGACCCTCTAATTGAGATTACTAGAATAAAAATTGAACAATTTATATAGAATCAAATATTAGAAACAGCAATGGTCATTTCGGTCAAAGACACGACTGAATACCTGGTAATGAAAATACAAGATTTTTTTATTGGGTTAAACAGCAGTTTTGCCTCAGAAGTTTTCAAAAAGAAGCTGTGGGTACCGAAATTTTTTTTTGGTGCACCTTTGCTGCGTAAGTATTAAAAACATAGAAATTGTGCCTGTGTCCTGACAGACTCAAATGGTCAACGTTAATTAACTGAGTTGAAAAAGCATTTTTGCCTTGTAATAGGGTGTGTTTGGGTGACACCCCAAACCATGGTTTGGGGAATAATCTACCCAAACACCCCCTCCAAAAACCAAAACCATGGTTTTAGATCAAAACCATGGTTTTGAAAAAAGCAAAATTTTTTTGCTTTTGGAGAAAAAAGAGAGAGTGTGAGGGCCTATATGATATGTATCTTGTTATTTTTTTTATAAACATATTTTTTTATAAATATATTTAATCTTATATTTTATAAATATATATACACATTAATTATTTATTAATTATATTATCTTATGTATTATTAATTATATTGGTAAAAAACATATTATTAACAATTTTATTCATTCAAATTAAAATATATCATAAAATCTATTTTTTCTATAATTATCATATTAACTTATATCTTTTTTTTAGTAATTTGTATATATAAAAAGTGTTTCTGATAACAACTATCCAAACACTCTCACTTCTCAGAATTATTTTTTTACAAAATCTATTTTTCACAAAATCTATTTTCCCCAGAATCTATTCTCCAGAATCACTTTACGGTTTAGTTTCATCCAAATACACCCTAAGTTTTCAAAAAAGAGCCGTGAGTATCCAGAATTTATTTGGGTATAATTTTATCCCGAAAGTAGTAAAAAACATAGCAATTTCACCCTATCCTAAATTGTCACTTGACTCTGATATAATATATCAATCCATAGGTTATCTAAATTAGTTTGAGAAAAAAATGATAAATATAAGAAGCAAAATAGACTAAAATATTATATTTAGGACCAAAGCTAATTCTCAATTAGCTCTTATATTACAAATAAAAAGTATTCATGTATATTTTCATTTATTTTTTATCATAGATATAACATATTTTGTGTTGATATATTCTCTTACCAGTTTTTAGTACCTTTTATCAACCGAAGGGTTAAAGATATTTCTAGTTAGATTTGATTTGTTCTTTTTTTCTAGTTGAATGTTCATGGATGTTGATAATGAAGGGGAAAGCTTTATTTTTTCCAGACTAATTTTTTCACCTTCTAATGGTTTTCGGGCATACCTGAAATTTGGTCACAATCAGGAACTTGGATATTCAGTCTTACACAGCAAATACACAGTGGGAGAAAGAGACAGAGGAAGCAAGCGAAGTAGAGGCCAAAACCCGGTTCCCAAAAAATTTTCTTCGTGGTTTTTAACTCCCACCCACGATCAGGGAAAACTACCTTCACTCACATACAGTTATTGCAACCGTTCCCGCTCCCTTTTGTGCAATTTAAATGTAAAAAGTGAAAACTACAATTCCCGACCTGGATGTATTGTAATTTACACTAGAACTCCAAAAAATAAATGGGTTTGGGTCCAATCCACCAAAAGTGGACTGGCCCATTTTCCCACACCTTCATATTCGATAATTGTTAATATGGCTTTATCATTATTTTTGTGATTGTTCATGTTTTCATGAACACCAATGATGACGATGATAAAAGGGAAAGAGATTTCTTTTGTTTTTTTTTCTTTTTCCAGTGTGATGATGATGTGGCGTCTTAGGATAAGATAATATATCAACATAAAATATAAAAAAAATTATAAGCAATAATTTTTTAATAAATTATTTACTTGAGTGATCATTTCAAAAGCTCCATGCAACATGTAAAATAAACATATGTCTAGTTTTTATATAAAAAAATAAAATTGATCCATGATAATTGATAAAAAGTTAATAAAAATATAGATTAATACTTTTTATTCTTAATATAATAGTTAGTTGAGAGGCAGATTTAATCCTAAATATAAGATTTTAATTCACTTTGCTTCTCGTGTTTATCATTTTCTCTTGAACTAATTCAGGTAACTTACAAATTGATATATTATATAAGAGTCAAGTGAGAATTTAGGGTAGAGTGAAATTGCTACTTTTTTATTACTTCCGGGGCAAAATTGTAAGAAAAAAACTTCTAAATACCTACAGCTCCTTTTTAAAAACTTCCATGCAAAAATGTTATTTTAACTCGATCAACGATCTATTAAGATAAGGCAAAAATTGCTACATTTTTAGTACTTTCGGGACAAAATTGCACCCAAAAAGATTTTGGGATACCCACAACTATTTGTTGAAAACTTTCAAGGCAAAAATGTTGTTTAACCTTTTTTTATTTTTAGAAGAGATCTCACAGTTACACTTACATATTGCTTAAAGGAAGAGATAGCATGTTTTAGATTTACAACAATTATGGAAAATAATAAAAATAAACAAATTGATATATTATATAAGAGTCAAGTGAGAATTTAGGGTAGAGTGAAATTGTTACTTTTTTATTACTTCCAGGACAAATTTGTAAGAAAAAAACTTCCAAATACCCCAACTCCTTGTTAAAAACTTCCGTGCAAACATGTTGTTTTAACTCGGTCAACGGTCTATTAAGATAAGGCAAAATTGTTACGTTTTTAGTACTTTCGGGGACAAAATTGCACCCAAAAAGATTTTGGGATACCCACAGCTATTTTTTGAAAACTTTCAGGGCAAAAATGTTGTTTAACCCTTTTTTATTTTTAGAAGAGATCTCACAGTTACACTTACATATTGCTTAGAGGAAGAGATAGCATGTTTTAGATTTACAACAATTATGGAAAACAATAAAAATAAACAACATAAGGTGTTTTTATACCTACACAGAAGCAGTTGCAAACAATATCTGATCAAATCTATGGCATGCAGAACATAGTAAGTAATATATCGGTCCTGTAATAATCACACTTTGCAAATGGAAACAGCTTTGATTCATGGAAGTGCAAATATTGACCTGCCCATATACCATTCAAATGAACATGAACTTTTACTCTACACAGAAGTGTTATGTCTTTCTCTACCCATGTGAAACCAGCAGGCACTTTCTATTCTTTTTCTAACATACAAGGGCAAGCCGAGCCTTGAGAAATAAAACAGACTAGATCTAGTATATAGTCAACTAACAAAAATTGCCCAGTTCGCTTTCTAGTTGCAAGCCATACGCTCGTCATCCAAAAACAAAGGCAAGCACCTAGACGGCACACTGTGCACTAACTGTGTTACAAAAGAAGTATGGCCCTCTGTTGCCATGAAATGTGCACATTTGATGTGTTCTCTTCCTGGATAAAAGAAAAGAACTTCCCAATCTGCATATATGAGTTCCCTTGTATCAATTAGGACTTGTCTCAATGGGTGATCTATTGCATTGTCTCGCATCAACAGGTTAAACCCCTCAAGAGAGTCAGTGTAGATGTGAACTCGCACTTCCTATTCTGTTTAGCAGACTCGTATATATAAAACAAATGATTCAAAAAAAACAACTGACCTCATTAAAGCATTGTAAATATGGACAAATAAGGACTATAATTCACCAACTCGCCTTTGCGCATGCTTTAACTTGGTTGCTAACAGGATATGAAACCTTCTTATGCATCAGTGAAGGGAGACATGAGATCTGAGTAGATTTTGAATTTCAAATTTGAGCGGTTATAGGTATGAAGCATTATGTAACTCCTTCCATTCCGTTGCAACACCACAGTTCACCTCTGCATTTATTTTGTCTGGCATGTGAGGGATGACACGAGAAAAGGAACATCTTTGACAGCCTTCGTGGATGAGATGTCTCACTACAAAGCCATATGCCAGAGCCGAGTGACACGAAGTCCAATAATTGTTTCTCCAACAGTGAAATGTGACAGCCAAATATGAGCCATTTTTGAGCTGGCTAAAGTGGAAGACTAATTTCACAACAGAAACAGATCAGGGGTTTCAAAGCAAACTAGCCAAGGGATCCCCCGGGAAGGGGGGGGGGGGGGAGTTAGCCATTTCCAATGAAAAGTATAATAGATAAACATCAATGTTGTATTAATCAAAAGTTATTGCTACTACAAATAAT